CCAACAAATAAACAAAAAAACCAACCAGGACTAGACCAAACATAGAAACACCTATATTCCGCTGTGAGAATGTAATTCATGCAACGTTGTGACATTCGTTTAACAAATTACTTCAGGCTGGACTTTTAGACCCAGGAGAGAGATGAGACTCCTGCGCCTGTAAAGATTCTCGGCAACTCATAAGGGCAGGTCTAGCCCGCTCCGTAGGCCGTCCTGAGTTGGACTGGACTCCATCGCGGGGAGTTTGGTCTTTGGGTTGGACATTTAATGGTTTTCCAGCATGTGCTCTTGCCAGCAGCCAGTGTTGTGCGAATATGCTTCTGGGTCAATTTTGGGAGGAACCTTTTAAAGAATTTCCCCTGGTCTCAGAAACAACCCCTGGATCACGGGGCACACCCAGTGTAAAACTTTTAATGCAAGTTGCGAAATTGTCCTCCAAAAGAGATTATTTTTTTGTCTAGAAGGGGGAATTCTGAAATAGCACATTTCCCCAGAGCATTTAAAACTTTTTTTTTTTTCTGAATAAAATGTGATTTCTAGCTTATCTGTTGACTTGGGTTCATTAAAATGGGATTATAGGAAAATGTAGTTATCTCTGCAACATGGACCAAAGTGCTCTAAATTCCTGGACCGGTCATTCGTGTGAGGCTCCAGTTCCATTCCTTCGTCCACGGGTGTCCATTTTTGCAAGCACAGTCATTGCACACAGAGAGGACCCCTGCTGGCCAAGCTCTGCTGGGGCCGTGGGCACAAGACTGGCTGGAAGCTTTGGCTCAGAAAGGCCTTGGGGCACAGACTCTCTACCAGGGCTGGATAGCTTTGTGTAGGAAGAGGAGGTAGGGTAAGGTGCACTGCCCACTTGGAAAGCCCGCTGCCCATTTGGAGAGCCCGCTTGGATGCGGCGATGGGGAACACACGGGACCTGCCCTCTGGCCCAGTCTGGGATGTGTGTGCCAATACGCACTTAGATTCATGCTGAGTGCTGTGGGGAGGGTCCATACAAGGAGAGGGGGGCACAGAGGAGGGCAGAGGTGGGAGCAGGAAGCCGTGCCTCAAAGGAAGGAGTGGAAGCCTGGCTTATTTATCCAATTCCCCACTTCGGGCCAGGACAGGGTGTGTGTGCTAGTTACATAATCTGTTGTCAGCTTGAGAGTATTAGAGTGAAAGGGTGGAGTTTATCCTGACAATTAGGTTGCAGTTTGATGACGTCATTTGG